AAAAAAAAAAATGTTATGATCCAAAATTGAGAGGCATGTACCTCATATCATACAGAATTCGTAAAAACAAAATCAGAAAAAAAAAAGTTATTTTTAGGCATTAATTTTTTTTTTTTAATAAAAAAATAAAAAAATAATTGAACGCCGTTCAATTTTGAACGCGAATGCGCAATCCGCGTTCAAACAGACATTCGAACGTGAACGCGCGTTCACGGCATTCAAACGGTTACACAGTTTACCATCAAACCTGTGCACGACTTTTCCTCTTTAAATTCGATCACCCATCTAACCGCCTTCAGGATCGACTCATGAGGCAGACTGCAGAACATCTCCTTGACGTCGAATGAGCCACCTACCACACCGTCACCACTTTTGACCGACCGGTTAACCTTCGAGATTCGAGCGACCAAATCCAGGGTACTCTGAAGATTAATAAAATGCGAACCCTGAGGTAGTCTCCACAACAGGTCGTTGATACAATTCGCAGTCTTCTTACACACAACGTTAGCTGGTTCAGGATAGGGGGGGCAAATTGTCCTCCCAAAATGTCCGGACTTATTCCATTGACCCAAACGCTGGAATCCCCCTTTCACAAAAGCATCACGACATTCTTCCAACAAAGTCTTCTCATCATCGCCAGTACGAATGTAACCAATTTCTCAAGAAACAACTTACATAGACTAGATAGTGGGGCAACATACCAAAGAATCACCGGGATTATGGTCAATGGTGCAACAGACAAGATCCGACAAAAAAGATCGAATCATAAGGACGGACTCAACAATACAAGGCAGGGATTTGAAGCCAAATGCAGCAGGGACAACCATAGTAGTAGTAGAAAAAGAAGAAGCGTCGACAGGTGGAGGAACAGTCAACGGAGAAGAAAAAAGGGAAAAAGAAGGACACGAAGAAGAAGAAGAAGAGGAAGAAGAAGAAGAAGAGGAAGAAGAAGAAGAAGAGGGAAAAGTAGATCGGAAAGAGGAAGAATAGGCAGAAGAAGTGACGATAGAAGAAAGAGGGAGAGTATGAAGGGTTCCAACCGAATTAACACAGGCAGCGACCCTGCCCTCAAAAAAGGTAACTTGACCGAAAGACGAATGGTGGGAGAAGGACAAAAACGCATCTCACAAAGATCTCCTCACACATCGAACAACATCCACTACCGTCGGATGCGGAATATTACAAGTATTAGCGAAACAGTTCGGGAAAAGATCAGATTCGCTGATACGAAATGAAATATGGCCGTCAACACAAGGTAAGCAGTTCCCAAAGGCATCACAGCAGCAGGTTGATGATCCTACCCCGGCAGCCTTACGAAAGTTGTGTATCAACTTCCCCAAGTTCTTGTTCTTAACCCATACAACTCGGAGCCTACGCACCAACAGTTCTTTCCACACCTTCGGAATGCTCAGCGACCGAATAGCATCCACTGCCACAGAACGCACCCCGGCCTTAGAAATAGAATCGTGAAAGACAACCCTTACCACTAGTCTCTGCCGCACGAAAATCCCAAAGCACTTTTGAATCACGGTGGACAAAATAGCACGCAAGGAAAATTGAGATCGTTTATCAAAAAACCACCAAATAGTGTTATAACCCGATACCAATTCATCGAAAGTCCAAGAATAGAGGTCCTTACTTCGCACAGGATTAGAAAGAAATACAGCCAAAGGCCGCTTGAGATGGACAAGAGAAGAGCAAAAGAGGTTTATGCTCAAGAAACGAAGGACACACCCACCATGAAAATATTCTTTAGCCTTCTTCAGCTCAAGCGTTTCAGTCCCTACAGAAATAACTGACGTGCCAAAGTAGCGTTTAACAAGCTTCCAACAATCACAAAGCGTGTCACCCCCTCACATCGAACCACCATCTCGTGAATACCATGATCAAAACACGACTTCAGAATAAACAGGATACTGCCGAAGCATTGTCCATCAGGTGTAGCGAAGGTTACTCGAACCCTTCACCTCAGTCAAAACACCATAATCAGTCGACAGTCTCCTCAATCGATCCCACTCATGTTTACCTTTCCTTTTGCATTTAGACAATCTTCTTCATCCACAGGTGTTGAGGTGCAGAGAAAAAATCCGAATCAAAGAACTCTCAATCAACAAGACGTTTTCCTTACTGCAGACATAGAGAGGAATAGCCACGAAATTCTCCACCCCAAAACGTCGAAGCCATCTATACAGTTTCTGGTCCCTCCTTACCTTGCCCCCTTCCCTACTCCTATAGACGTGTTCTCACCATCGAGTCGGAAGATCCCTGGAAGTAGAACGAATATAGATATGCTTACACCATGGAGAAACAATAGCATACACCAACGGTCTAGAGCACGAAGCGAACTCAAAACCCACCGCACACAGATTCCCAATATAATCATGAAACTTCGCCAACCAGGGAAGAGAGTCGAAGCAGACGAGTTAAAACAAGTAGTCGAAAGAGACAGTCTATCTGAGAATCATGAAGAAAGGTAGATGATAATCTCACACGAGAACAACTCGCAAGACATGACCAGACCGTGTTTACGCTCGGGAAGGATCCCTAAGAATCCGACACAACCTGCACACCGCCCCCTTCAGGATTACCCCCCGCCTTGCGTGCAGTGTCATCGCCCGCCAGATCCTCACTCTTAGGATCATCATCACTGCCATCTGTCTTAAACTCATTATCAAGCCGTTTCTCAACAATAGAATCAATCGCCTGTTTAATAGTCACAAACTGCACTCCCTCCTCCTCATAAATCTTCATGATTTGATTTGTTCGTAGTCCCTTGAGCTTACGTCGTGCGGTCTTCTCAAACAACACCATTCTTGAAGCTTGCCCCTTAGTCGAAGATGCCTTCACGTTCCGAGTCAAATGTACCACATCATCATCATCGTCTTCCTCCGAATCCGCAACCGCTTCAAAAGAAGCCCGAAGGTTGGATCGGGAAGGACAAGGCGTTTTTCCAGTCAACTTCTTACATAACTCAATAGTTTCAGTCTGCGCCTGTGCCTTTATCTCCTTCGATAGTCGCACCTCCGCTTGCATAGCTTCGTTGTCCTCCAAGATCTTCTTATAGGCCGACTTCAATCTCCGGACCTCGCTCACAGGTTCCACTGCTGGGTGCAAATTAGCCGGTGATGGTTCCGACTCTCCACTTCCCTATACACCAGCTCTCCGTTTAGACCCCGAGCTAAGCGGGGCATAAACTGCATGCTCGCTAACCTTCTTCTCGAGCACCTCGTTCTCCAAGGTAAGTTTCTCCAACTTAGATTCCATAGCCTTCCGAAACTCATCATTCTAACGTCGTAAACGAGCAGCCTCGTCCTCCTTGGTTGGAGCCTGCCCACCCTTTCCAACAATTGTCTCACAGATCCCCTTAAGCTGCACACTCAACACCTCACTCATTTCTTGATGAAATTCCCTCCGTTCTCTACGTCGGGCGTCAGCCTCACGATCCTTCCTCATCTTCTCTTCTTCCTCAGCCTGCACCGCTCTTTCTCTCTCTGAGCAGCCTCACGTGCCTGCTTCTCGACGCTCCACCAGTCGTACATCTCATTGAATCTAGCCTGATTACTCCACCACCATCCTTGACGTGGAGCCGTAGGAACGATATCCGCGCTAGACGAGGCATCCGGATTCTGAGACGACAGTGGAGCCGGTAGTGCCAAGATTCCGAAATTCTGCACAAGTAAGATGGGGTTGCTCTGACCGGAAGAAGAAGCAACGTTCATGTTCTGTGTCACCTGCGAATAACTTCGACCGCCCTGGTATCCGTTAACGCCACAATTCCTAGGACAATCCCGTGAGAAGTGGCCGGGTTCATGGCATGTATAGCACCTACGAATAGGGATGAAATTAGGATTAGGATTCGCCATAGTAAGCAATACCGTCTACAACGACAGGTAATAGACAAGAATAAAGAGCCAACAAAGAGAGAAGGAGAATAGCAAAGGTAGCAAGGCATCAACTCATCATAGTCGAGATCATTATCATCTCACAGCCACACAACTATAGTACTATTGCTAGAGTGGTTACTATGCGAGTATATGGACAAATGCGTATAACACGTAGATGCCATTCAGTTCACAAAGGAAAAGAGAGAGAGAGGGAGAAAAAAGAGAGAGAGAGAGAGAGAGAGAGAGAGAGAGAGAGAGAGAGAGAGAGAGAGAGAGAGAGAGAG